TGTAGGATCTCTGTCCTTAATGTGCTGTGCATTGAGATTTAATACTATAACGAGTACTCAAACAATATATTTCACTTTGTGTTTCTATGGGGGTGCAAACTGTTGAAATCTTTACTTAATGCATACTAAATTGATCCTCTGTAAAAAAAAAAAAAAGAAATTATCAATTCCCAACTTGAATCTCACTGGGATTAAACATGACAATAGGTCTGATCTGATTTATCATCATTAAAAAAAATCATCTATTATTTTTCACTTTATGTTTCTGTGTGGGAGCCAACTGTTGAAATCCTTACTTAATGTATACTAAGCTGATCTTCTATATATTAAGATAATCGAAAATGAATCTTGATGTGAATGGAAGGGAAGAGGAGTGGGAAAGGGGAGGGTTGTGGGTGGGAGGGACGTTATGGGGGGGAAGCCATTGTAATCCATAAATCGTACTTTGGAAATTTATATTCATTAAATGAAAGTTAAAAAAAAAGAAATGAAGAATTCAATAGGTCAAATAAGAAACTCAGCGGTAAGCCTAAACAACAGAGTCTGTGAGACAGAAGAAAGAATATCTGAGCCAGAAGACAGATAAAAAAAGAGTAAGAAATTAGATAAATTAAAAACAGTGTTAAGAGATTTATGGTGTACTATCAACCCAACATATGGGTCTTAGCAGTTCCTGAAGGTTTGGAAAGAAAGAATGGATTAGAAGGCCTATTCAGTGAAACAATTATACAAAACTTTCCCAGTTTGGAGAAAGAAGTGGATTTCCAAGTACAGGAAGCACATATAACTCCTAATAGACATGACCAGAAAAGATCTGCACCATGACACATTGTCGATAAGCTTTCAATAGTAAATGATAAAGAAAAGATTCTAAAATGTGCACGAGAGAAATGCCAGATTATGTCAGAAGATCTCCAATCAGATTCACAGATCACTTATCAGAAATTCTACAGGCTAGGAGAAAACAGAGAGCCATAGTCCAAGTGTTAAGAGAAAAAACTGTCAACCCAGAATACTATACTCAGCAGAGCTATCCTTTATGAATGAAGGTGAAATAATGACTTGCATAACAACCAAAAATTGAAAGAACTTGTCACCATACCTCCAGACTTGCAGAAGATGACTACACAAAGGTAGTCATCATTACGAAAGAATGTGAAGACAGCAAATCTCCCAGTAAAAGTACAAAGGAAACCAAAGTAAACAATAGGAAATATTATGGAAAAATGGCAGGGCCAAGTCATTACTTATCAATAGTAACCTTGACTATAAATGGCATAAATACTCCATTTAAAATATACAGACTGGCTGAATGGATTAAAAAACAAGACCTATCTACTTGCTGCCGACAAGAAACACACCGCACCAACAAAGAAATGTGCAGATTGAAAGTGAAAGAATGGAAAAAGATACTCCATGTTAATGGATGGCAAACAAGAGCAGGTGTAGCCATTCTAATTTCAGACAAAATAGAGTTTAACACAAAATTTGTTAAAAGAGACAAAATGGGCACTATGTAATTATTAAGGGATCAATTCAACAGGAAGATTTGATTATTAATACACATATATGCACCCAATCCCAGGGTGCCTGGATCTAAAGGGAGACATATACTTCAATACAATAGTAATGGGGGACTTCATCAATTGACAGACAAACTAGACAAGAAAAATCTACAAAGAAATAGCAAAATATAAAATTCATGAAGTTAGGGCCAGCGTTGTGGCATAAAGGGTAAAGCCACCTCCTTCAGTGCCGGCATCCCATTTGAGCACTGGTTCGAGTCCTGGCTACTCTTCTTCTGATCTGACTCTTTGCTATGGCCTGGGAAAGCAGTAGAAGATGGCCCAAGTCCTTGAGCCCCTGCACACCCGTGTTAATTACACAATTATTCTTAGGTGTTTAAATTTAACTGAAAAGTTATCTGTTAAATATAAGAATGGGAATAAGAGAGGGAGGAGATGTATAATTTGGGACATGCTCAAGCTGACTTGCCCCAAATGGTAGAGTTAGAAACATACCAGGGGATTCGAATTCAATCCCATCAAGGTGGCATGTACCAATGCCATCTCACTAGTCCAAGTGATCAATTTCAGTTCACAACTGATCATAATGATAGGTCTCAGAGTCAAAGGGATCACATAAACAAGACTAGTGTCTGGGGATACTAACTGATAGAACTAAAAAGAAGAGAACGATCCAACATGGGAGCAGGATACACAGAAGACAGAATGGCAGATGTCCTAAATAGCACTCTGGCCTCAGAATCAGCCCTTAAGGCATTCGGATCTGACTGAAGAGCCCATGATAGTATTTTAGGCATGAAAAGCCAAGACACTCTGGCAAAACAAACAAACAAACAAACAAAAAAAGAGGACCTAAATGAAAGATCTCTTTAAGTGAGATCCCAGTGGAAAGAACGGGGCCATCAAAGAAGGAGGTACCTTTCTCTGCAGTGAGAAGAGATCTTCCACTTTGACTATGACCTTGTCTAAATAAGATCGGAGTTGGTGAACTCAAGAGGCTTCCATAGCGTTGACAACTCATGACAAGAGCCTAGGGAGATTACTGACGCCATAAACAAGAGTGTCAATTTGTTAAGTCAACAACAGGAGTCACTGTGCACTTACTCCTCATGTAGGATCTCTGTCCTTAATGTGTTGTTCAATGTGAATTAATGCTATAACTAGTACTCAAACAGTATTTTTCACTTTATGTTTCTGTGTGTGTGCAAACTGTTGAAATCTTTACTTAATATATACTAAATTGATCTTCTGTACATACAATTCCAACTACCAATTTAAATTAGAATATAATGATTTTTAAAATTAAATACATGACAATCATAGTTAAATATAACAATAAATTCCTAATATCACTAACAATTTAGTCAATCACTCTGGGCTTTTGGTTGGGCAGCAAATCACATAGGGGCTATCTAATATAAATGCTCCATGACAGGGTTTGCCTGCTACCAGTTGAGAAATTTTGGACATTGTTTGCCAAAGACTGTCATTTCTGACTCTAGTTTTGCACATATATATATATATATATATATATACACATATTCAGAGCAATTAATGGACTGAAGACTTAATTGAAAACGACACGGATTGCTTTAAAGCATTAACATTAGCATGGGACCATATTTCTTAGGGCATGGAAAATAAATTCAGTAATAATCAACACAGGGTAGGTGTAATAGGGAAGCTTAAGAGGTAAAATAGGGAAATATTTTTATTATTATTTTAAGTAGATGCTAAAGGAAAAAGGGACTCGCAGAGACATGCAATAGTACATTGCTAGCAAGTTTACTGTTCACAACAATAATCCTTGTTCTCATTCTGTAAAATCTATATACAGAGGAAACTGAATTTAACTTTGGGCTAGAACAGTTATAACAAGTGATAACACTTATTTTCACATTCCTTTTTCTAAATGAAGTAAAGGAAGACAAATATTAGGAGTTGCAGAAGATAATAGTAAGGTTGAGAGGATGATTAATTTACTACAACATAAAACTAATAATACAGTTGGAAATGATATATTAATAATCATTATATTAAATAATGATATAGCTTTTAAGCTTTAGGCAAAAAAGGTTTGAAGATTACTATCACACCTTCTGAAAAAATAATTTTGTCCCTGCATGAAAGCATTATATTATTTTGCTTTATGAGCTGAAAGAAATTCAAAGAGTTTTTAGCAAGTATTATTTATACAAAAACAGCCCCTGGATTTTAAGATTCACTCCTGGAATTTTCATCATTACTTAAAATACATTCTAAATAGTAATAAAACTATGAAATGTTGAATTATCTCTCTCTGAATGATATAAAATTATCTAATATCAAAGGAGACCAAGAAGATTAGACTACTAATTAGTTCATTCTCTATGAAAATAAAAAGAGTAAAATGGCTCAAAGCAAAACCTATTCTATATTCACATTACATGGCCTAAGATCTGTAAGGAATATCAGCAGTTATACTGAAAAAATGCCTTCCTTTGTTGTTTGTTGTATAAGTGCTTAGAATAAAACCAGCAATATACATTGTTAGCTCTACTGCTTACACATGTACCCATATATGTATATTTATGAATATTTTCTATTTATATATAGTGTCCATGAGACATAAAGGATACACTCGAGAGAGACCATAGTTATTACCCATGTTTTGAAATTTCATTGACTTTGGAAAAATATATATTTCATCTCACTGACTTAAATAATGGGAGATTTTTAATAGGAAAAATATATTATCTTTCAAACATTTCAAAGTTATGAAAGACAAAGGGAGACATGAGGAATGATCAGATTGGAGGTGTAGGAATCATGAAAATTAAACACAGTATGAGATCACCCGTTGGATCCTCAATCAGGAAAAAAAAAATGGGTTAGTGGAGAAACTTAAAATTTGGATAAGAATTATAGATGTTTTAATAGCATCATATCAAGATTAATTTCCTGTATCTGATCATTTTAATGGGATTAGATATATGGTCACATTAGAGAAGCAGGGCAAAAGATGAGAAAAAAGCACTGTGTACTATTTTCTGGGAGTATGAAATTATTTCAAAATAAACAGTTTAAGAACATAAACAAAAACAGCATAATTCACAGTGTCCAAATCAAGTAGACATAGGAAAATTTATTCTTTTAGATAAACTCAAGGTGTTTTTAGCTTTCTGTACAAGAATGCTTTATAAATCTAAAACCAATTACTTCAATTACTAACAGAGCAGTAAAGTGAAACACTATAATACTGTGTCCACATTTAAAATGCAGTTAATGAAAAGAATGATCTTAGTAACTTTTCATATTAATGATTATGTAATTAACATATTTTATGTTCAAGGATAGAGCCTCGACATTTTCTGAACTGTAACTTTTGAAACAAGGGCAGCGTTTTCTAACATTTCATGATCCATCCAAACTGAAATCTAACATATAGCTCAGTCTAAAATTAGAATTGCAGACTAGCTTATTTGCTCTGCTTACCTGAAACTGTGTGATCCTTAGAGTCTCTTGTTATTTTTATCCTGGCATGAGGAAAGATGTAGTGCATAGTCTTCCCATTCATCTGGATAATCTAAGGCAAACACAAGATAAGGTGAAAATCAATGTTAAAGACATCTAAAGTGCAGTACAGAGAATTACTCAATTCTAATGTCTTTCAAAAAGTATATTGATTATATTGATGAAAAAGTCTTAGGAGCTCCCAAATTATAATTTAAGCACCTTAAACACTACGTATATGATACTGGTTTCTGACTTCATTATGGCCTTCACATCTTTAACCAATGGCTCTTGCAAGTTGATTTACTGTATTTGGGAAACTGATGAACACATGTAATAGGTTCTGAAGGACACCTGTTATTTAATAAGACAGTGTATATGGAAAAATTTCTGCTCTGGGTAGTCTAGACATGGAAAGCTATTTTTAAGTTTCAGCTGTTAACTGATGCTAGGGCAGAAATGTTAGAGGAGATAACACTACTCCACATCTCTGTCCCTGTAATGAATCCCTCTGCTCTGTGGGGCCAGCTTTGCAGAAAAGCAGGCTGCCACTAGTATTGCCCACATCCCAAAGTTCAGTCCATGCTGCTATACGTTCCAATCCAGCTCCCTGCTAAAGTGCCTGGAAAGGGAGCAGAAGATGTTCAAATGCTTGGGCTCCTATCACTGATGTGAGAGAACTAGATGGAGCTCAGGGCTCCTGCCTTTGGCCTGACCCATCCCTGGCCGTTTCAGTCACCAGAGGAGTGAATTAGCAGATGAAAAGCTCTCTCTCTCTTTCTGCCTTTCAAATATTTTTTAAAAAGAGACTGCTTTATGCTGCTTGATTTTCTTGCTGAATCAAACCTCTGCTAAGCATTTATAAGTTTCAATCTACATTGAGACTAGTTCAGCATAAACAAAGCAAGGTTTTTTCTCATTTTAATATTATCTGAAGACTTATTTGGATTCAAGGGTTTTGATATTGATGGCGTTACTCATCATTTACTGTGGAAGTTCCTTACGGAAGAAGAAAAAGCACTTAAAGCTTTCATTGCAAGTACTGTTTCAACTCACATTATGGAAATGAACATGAGAATGCTAAAGATTGCATTATCTTTGTTTCCATCCAGTGAAATGAGGTTTCTGAAACAAAAATGAATCAGGAAATGTAAACTTATGCTTTAAATATATGTGTGTGTATGTGTGTATACATATACATATATATTTAAAAAGATTTATTTATCTGAAAGTCAGACCTACAGACAGAGGGAAGAGTGAGGGAGAGATGGAAGGGGGTGGGGAATCTTCTATCTGCTGGTTCACTCCCCAGATGGCTGCAATGGCTAGGGTTGGCAGGAGGCAGGAGCTTCAACTGGTTCTCTCTAGTGGGAGTGCTGGGGTTCAAGCACTTGCACCATCTTCCACTGATTTCCCAGGCACATTAGCAGGGAGCTGGATCAGAAGTGGAGCAGCCAGGACACAAACTGTACAGGATGCAGATGGCAGCTTTTCTGCTACGCCACAACGCTGGCCTCATGCTTTACATTTTATAGAAATTTGTTTTCAAAAGAGATTTGTGAAATAATGAATATGGAAAGTGTAAAATATTTATTCACATATATTAACAATGATTGTACTTTTATGGAATCTTGTATCCATTGCTCTAGGAAAATTTTCAACTTAAATTAGAAGTGAAAGATTTTTAAGTCAGACATTTCATACTGTGTATTTTAGTTATTTGTTTAAGAATGATATGAAAGTACCAACACAAGATACTAAACAGAATGGTTCTAACCAAAGAGATCCTACTACCTCCTCTCATCTTTTCTCTTTCTTCTTCTTTCTCTTCTCTAATGTGCATTTGAAAATCTGTATTTTTTAAATTAGAATTAAACTGTGTGCACTGAAAATCTACAACTGTTAGGTTCATTTTGTGAACAAAAGACCTTGGAAAACTCAAATGAACTTCATGTGCTCTAGCAAATCCAGCTTAAAAATTGCTAGAATCTTGGATATTAAATGAGATATTGAAAAAAAAGGCAAGTTACAATTACAGCTGTTTGCTTTTATTCTCTTGAGGAAAGAATATGCTTAATCAGACCTCAGATGAAGTGTTCTCAAACAATAGCAAAATCCTGTTAAGTAGACAAAATGTAATATGAATTCTATATAACAAAACCAAAATACTGTTTGCAGGATAACAATTTTTTGCATTATAAAAATACTATGGTTGGGGTAATCAGTCAATGCAGATAATTTATATGAATGCTTTGTAAACAGCTGGAACTTATAGTTCTTTTCGTCCCCGTCTTACCTCCTGTTCTTTTTTTCCCTTCGCTCTTCTCTTCTCTCCTTGGCCCTCCTACTTCCTGTTCTCATCTTGTGTCCTTCTACATTCCTTTTCCTCTTTCTCTCCTTCTCCTAATCTGCATTTTAGGATCTTTATTTTTTTGTTGTTAAAATCAAAATGTGCATATTGAAAATTCTACAACTATTAGGTAAAACTGGATATTCTATAGCATACAGAAATTTCATTAATATTGGTAGATATTGCTTCATTTTAAGCATTTTATCATTTCATTTATTATTTCATAATGATTTTTGAAAAGTCATCTTTTAAAAAATAAAGCCCAAAACACAATTTTGCCTTCTGGTATACTTTCCGGTTTTGGTGTTGGGGAGAAGATGATGTAATATCACAGTGCATCTATTCTTCGTTTGCACAGTTTAGAAAAGTAGTCATTCCCTAAATTTTTTATCAGTGATTTATCATCCATTCAGGTATCACCTTGTAATTTATACCTAGGATGTCAGTGAGAAAAATATTGAACATCATTATTTTCATAGTGTGGCGTTCAGAGCATGCTACACAACATTTTTCAGATTCTGAGAATGTCTACAACCAGACTCATGAGTTCTATTTAACAAATCAAAAACATAAACTATCACAGTTATGGTCAAGGGTTATAGAAAGCAGAAGTATGTCTCCAAAATATAAACTTGATGGTTCTGAGCTTTTTAAGTCACCATTATAAGGGAATGTTGACTCTTCTAGCAGATGAGTTATACAATAGGGGTTGCTTTTGCCAAATAAAAGTAGGAATAAGGTTGGGGGCAGGACTGATGTCAAGTAGTTCCCTTACTCTCTCCTCAAGGAACTGGTTTCTGGTATCACTGTCTTCTGACAATTTTGCACTCACAGAACGATTTCAGGTATGTCACCCAGAAAAAGGATTCCCCACTACCAATGAGTACTTCAAAAGGAGTAATTTTATTGAATTGAGAATTCATATTTATGAAATAAATTTTGTGTCAACATACATTTTATTTAGATAGACATTCATCCTGTATCCCACTTAAATATTATATATTGCTAGAAGCTGGGGACAGTGCACCCTGACGGGTTCTGCTGGGCAGTGTATACCTTCAACCTTATGGATGGAATAGAGATCTGCTGCCCTCTAGGTGCTCATAGCTCAAGAGTTGCACAGGGCATGAATGAAGCACAAATAACACAGTTTTGGGAAGTGGTGTATGTCAGAGAAGTCTTCTTGCAAACAGGAATGTGTACATAGAAACTGTGTGACAGCAAGGTTAGCCAAAAACAGGACAGGAGGAACAGTGTCCAGTGAGAGGAAACAGAGCATTCAAATGCTCAGTATGAACTGTGGCTCTTTCCTAGGATCTTAGTGACCTCAGAGCTACAGATGAGTCGGAATTGCTGAGGAATGGGCATCAGCCAGATGGTGGTGCATTAGTAATAGTCAAGATGTGTTGACCTACACAACCATCCTATACAGGGTATTAGTTCTATTTATAGATTAAGTGACTAAAAAAATTAACAAGATAAAAGAAGTTAGGTGATGCAGAGGTTAAACAAAAATATATATTTTTGAAAGGAAACATATGGTTTTGAGGATTTGCCTTATTTATGTAGTTAATATGATTGTGGATCTGACAAAAAATAACTTTCTCATTCTTCTACCCCTAGACTGGATGTTTTACATAAAATATTTTAAAGCAATTAGTGTTCACATTCATCAATTTAGTCATTACTTTTGCCTCAAGAGCAGTTTATAACTATAAATTATTGTTATGCATGTTTTCAAATTAAAGCATTGGAATTTATTGGTACCTAGAGCTCAATATTATCTTTTTATGATTAGAGATACAAAAAAGGTGAATAAAATCAGAAATTCATTTTTTATTCTCCAGACCAAAATATAGTTATAATGAATTAAAGAGAAAGACAGTATATGCACATAAATATTAATATTAAAAGCATGAATTTTGAATTATATATAACTAAACTTGGGATCTTTATGTAGAAAGTTAAGCATATTTTTTTATGTAGAATCTATTTAATAAAACCATAAAGAAAGACAAGGAAATTATTGTCACAAAAATCAGCCTATTTGTTGCCTGATTGGGAAAGGGAGAGATGGTGATCTGAGAAGGGCATTTGAGGGTTCTTGGGTCAGGTACTCCTCCCTTTCTTAGCCTGGGGTGGTAGTCTGGCTGTTCACTTTCAAGTAGTTTGTAACATTATATAATTATAGCTTTTATAACTGCATATTATAATTTCTATATTTTAGACACCAAAGCTAAAAAAATTTAATTGTTGAGTTTTTTGTCACAAAAATAAACATAATATTCTGCTATATTCACCTACGAAGAGTACTTATGTTTTCTACTTTACCAAACATAACGAGAAGTTTATTAAATATCTGTCAAATATACCACTCTGCTTCATTTGGGCATTATATTGGTCTAAAATGTATCTTGTTTAGAATACAATGTAGTATAAGGGCTCTTCATAAAGTCTGTGGAAAACAGAATTAAAAGCTAAGTTTATTTTAGTGTAAAAATTTTGAAATCCATGTGTATAGAAACTTATGAAAAAATGTACATTATGAAAAAAATTATGACTGTTTTTCAAAATGTTTTTATACTAAAACTTACTTTTAAAAATTATTTATTTACTTGAGAGAGTGACAGAGAGAAATCCCATATTCTGTATGACTCCCATAATTCCCCTCAACAGTCCTCTGTGGGAAATCAGTTCATGTCTCCTGTGTGGCCAAGGGGAGGAATCTCATTACACCTCCCAGGGTGTGCTTTGGCTGTAGTGAGGAGCAGATCTAGGTATCAATTAGTAGTTCATTTAACTGGTTGCTCGCTCTCTCTCTCTCTCTCTCTTAAGGTTTATTTATTTGAAGTCAGAGTTACAGGGAGGGAGAGACAGAGAAATCTTCCCTCTACTAGTTCACTCCTCACATAGCTAAGGGCCTGGGCTCAGCCAAACCAAAATCAGGAGCCAGGAGCTTCATGTGAGTCTCCCACATGAGTATCAGGGACCCAAACACTTGGGCCATCTTCCTCTGCCTTTCCCAGTCCAAAAGCAGGGAGCTAGATTAGAAGTGGAGCAGCTGGGACACGAACTGGCATCCATATGGGATGCTGGCATTACAGGATACTGCTAGGCAAAACTTCCACTCATAAACTAATCTTTTAATTCCAATCTCCATAACAATTCTAAAGTACCCTTGTTTTTCTTAAGTAAATAAAAATTATGTATCTGTATACAGCAGTAACAGAAATTGGGAACAAAAATGTCATTATGCATGTCCATATTTCCCTTGTGTCTCATATAATTTAAGGAAATATTTTTGGGTAGATAATAGTACTTAAATGTAACCCCAAATAATACTCTTTGGATAAATTATATAAGTCCACTATGAGTATTAATGCAAATAGTAATGTTGAGTGATAAATGTAGGGAAGTTATTAATTTCTCTAACTCTCCAGTTGATATAGTCCATCTCATTATGATTTTGTTAATCATCATAGTTTACATGTTTATTGAAAATTTAGGTTTGTGAGAAATACTAAATTTCAGAAAAATAAGATGGGCAACAAGTCTGTCATTACAGAGAGAGTCTTAAAATACATTCAAGGAAGTTATTTTCAACTGAAAAATTTATTACTTTAGTAAATGCAGATTAAAATAGATAAATTTTAAATTTTTAAAATCAATTTTTTACTTCCCAACCATATCTTTTTTATAAAAGTTGGAAAGTAACTATGAAAGCAATTTTACAAACAAAACAAGCTAAAAATAATTCACGAGAGTTAGATATAATAACATGAAGTAGAAAGAAATGGAAACACATTGGTATATTTGCAGAGGTAAACACAACCATAATCAAAAAAAGGATCAGATATATAAAGTACTACAGAGAGAACATAAGTAGAGAAGATTCCCAAGAGTGCTGGCAAAGAAGATAGATATAGAAACACAAAAGAGTATAAAATTCTGAGAAAATGAAATTCTACTGAATTATTCAGAATTTGTCCACAAGAACTGACACTGCTTAGGAGGAAATAAAATCCAAGAGAACTGATAATTTTATTTTAAACAGTTCTTACACATGTAAATGTATTTCAATATAACAATCTTGGGATTAAATTATAGGAGGTTCGTGCAGAATGTAGGTTCTTGTTCAGAATGTAGTTATCTTTTATAAAAATGAATCACCATACAGGATTTAATGTAAGAGAAATAAATAATGTAAGTGAAATAAATCATTTATTTGGTGGATATTTTAATGATCATAATGAGTACACAGCCTGCAAATACCTGATCTGATAACACTACTGTTTCAGGGACACATGGTTTACAGTGAATTTCTTTCAACTTATCCAACCATTAATCTCGTGTTTCTGAAAACTGAACTCAAACATCACCTGATTTGCCCTAAAGTGGGAACATGGATTTTGTTGTCATATTTATCAAGTTGTAAAAATCACCTCTAAGTTTCAGTCTCTTCATTTCTAACAAGATATTATCTACTTTATGTGAGTTGTTCAGTGGATAAAATCCAAAAATTAATGCAAAAACTGACACTTTCATATAGTAGTAAGTATCAGTTCTTTTCTCCTCAAGTGAAACTTTACTTCTCTCCTAGCTGACTTGATTCGCTTACTCTTTTGATATTCTTGTAGCCCTGAGATATTGTTAGAAAAAAAGCACTGAAAATTACCCAAATCTATTTCACCCACTATTCTGTAAAGTCTTCAGGAATCCATGTATTCTCTTTGGACATTTCACAGACTTATTAATTATCTACTGTAGGAATGAATCACTTAAAATGCCTGGTAAGTACTACAGCTATGTGTCAAGGCCAATCCATCATGTGTGATAAAGTGGTATGTTAGTTCTTTGTTACTGAAAAAAAAATTATTCATGAATTTGGTTTACAAACACCCCATTTGTTTTCAGATACCTGAGACCATTAGAGAGTAGAGTTCAGTCTTTTCTTGTTGATAAATCTAAAAGGGACTGTTAAATATAGCACTTACTTGCTCTTGATGTTGACTGAGTGGTCTAGAGTGGACCAATCTTTCTGGCAGTTTTCGGTCCAGACCGTGTCCATTTTCCAAACGAGACTCCCTGGGTTTATCAAACCAATCTGTTTCCTCACGACGCAGGTGATAGGCTTTGGAGACCAAGGAAATATCATACATTGCAACCAAAGCTTGTACAGGTGACAGGGGGCAGTAGACGTTCTGCAGTTACAAACATGCACTAGGCTTGTTAGCCAGACATGCGTTTCAAATACAACTCTCAACAGGATCAGGAAAAGGCAGTTTTATTATTTTGTCAAAAACAAAAAAAAATTTTAAAAATTTTGTACCACAGGATAACCTAAAACAGCAATGCATACAGATCAAAGCAGATAAAACAAAGAAAACCAAATTTTAAATCGAGAGAAAAGGGGAATTTGGACAGTGAAGGAATAAATGAATAAGCGAACATTCCTGAAGAGTCATTTTATGTAATCTCAGTCCTTCAGTTCCATCTGCTCATCTTTACCTCCAGCTCACCACTAATCATCAAAAGGATTTATTGAGTTTGGAGATTTCTGTTGCTTTCCTACTCCTGCATTAACCAAGCAGTAATATGGAACTGCCAGAATTAACACAGAGTAATTTTTTGGAAATATGACATTCCCAAGTAAAGAAAAACATTTATTTCCAAGAGAAGACCAAGTGTTACTTACAGGAGGATGTGTGTTACGAGTATTTCAGGTCTAATATTAAAAGGATCAAAGTTTTATAATAAAAATGAGATGATTACTGAAAAGAACACTGATATTAGAATTAGACTTAGAGCTGATTGAATGCTTTTCACACTTATACTGTTATAAAATTTGACATCATAAAATACTTTTGTGAAATCGCAATATTTAAAGTATACAACTTCTAAAATTTTCATCTCATTCATTAGTATTTCTTAGCTCTGTTAAGTCTGTATTATGGTAGCTGAAAATCCTTTTATCTAATCTAATGCATATATAACCTAATATATAGAATCTGGTTTACTATAAATTGTTCTATTCTTTTAAAAGGGTCCCTAATTAATAGTTGTTAGAAATACACTGCTATTTCCTAACTGGCAGATGGAGCAACCCTCCTCATGAGCTTGTCCTGAAAGTTCTGTTGATGATACTGTCAACCTACATCTTCTTGAAACGTTAGCTTCTACACTATTGAGTTCTTCTCTCTGTCTCATTATAGCTTTATTTTTTTCTGTCCCTAACTACTTTCTCTCCCAAAATTTACTTGCAAGGCAACTTCCATTGTTTCATTGCCAGCAGAGCTGGCAAACCCTCGGGGCATACACCTCTACTCACCTCTACACCACCTGTGATCTTGGTCAACGCTGCTCATCTATCAGAGCACTGTCCTCTAATAAACACGGAATGAGAGATGATGTCTCATGGTCTAGCCAGTCTTAGTTTTGAGGAAATAACAATAGCACATACCTGGTCTGTGGTTGCATAGGTACTTGACTGATTCACCTATCAGATTCTAAGATGCTTGAAGTCAAGCATCGCCCAACACTAAAAACAATGCCTTGAAATGTGGTATAACATTCAACAAGTACTTGTGGAATGAAAAAATATAGAATAACTAAGTATCCTAACTACTTTTAAGTAAAAGATCTGCCTCTTGAACCTCATTAAAGGGTACACAATGTTTTTAAGAATCTACTCAATAATTATTATGGTTTTCATAGCCTTAATTTAAAGCCAAGTGACTAAACCTACAAATATTACTTTAATATACATTGGATAAATAAATACAAAGAAAATCCATTACTTAACTACATCTTTGAAAACTTCTTTGATTTTCTCCACTCATCCTAACATTATTTTATTTTATTGCTTATGTACTATATTTATATATTACAAGAAAATAATCTTCTATACTGTTTTAATAAATATGCTGAATAATGCAGTATGTGATTTCATATAAATACATAATTTTCCTAATTGTATTTGAAATACAATTCTTTAAAACATGTTTTCTTTGACCATGTCTGTACAAATAAGGCAAAACTGTAACCTGATACAAATTTTGTCAGTTTGTTTCCAAATCTAATTACATACTTTGATTTTCTGTTATTTCATATAACAATCCTACATTTAAACTAATGGGGATATCTACTACCCTTAGCATAGGAATTTAGAATCAACAAAAAAAAAACAGACTAAATGAGTCTATTTTTGTATTAGACTCTGTGTCATATAAAGCCAGTTGTACAGTAAATGTTAAATTTTTAGAACTGCAATTAAAATGGCAAAATGGCACTTTAAAATTTAATTCTATAACAATAACATTTTCCTAATTAAATAAGTTACTTGTTATTGACATAACCTTTTAAGCTTGGTAATATTTTCTTGAATCTTAAATGTAAAATACAAATGAGCTATTGCTGGGTCTCAGATTGCACACAGCGCAAATGTTACATGCATAGTGTAAACCTCAGCATCAAATACTGGTAAGACTTGTTTTATAAAACGTTATATGTTTTGCTGGCGCTGCGGCTCAATAGGCTAATCCTCCGCCTAGCGGCGCCGGCACACCGGGTTCTAGTCCCGGTCAGAGCACCGGATTCTGTCCCGGTTGCTCCTCTTCCAGGCCAGCTCTCTGCTATGGACCACCGGGAGTGCAATGGAGGATGGCCCAGGTCCTTGGGCCCTGCACCCTCATGGGAGACCAGGGAAAGCACCTGGCTCCTGGCTTCAGATCAGCGCGATGTGCCAGTCGCAGCGTGCCGGCCACGGCGGCCATTGGAGGGTGAACCAACAGCAATAGAAGACCTTTCTCTCTCTCTCTCTCTCTCTCTCTCTCACTATCCACTCTGCCTGTCAAAAAAAAAAAAAAACTTTATATGTTGATACTTTGTGAGGCAGAGGGACATATGATGAAGTACATTATGAAAGAATGTTTTCAATAAAAGACTTGTGGCAGTAGAAATAAATGCCATATGACTGTTTGTAGTTTAGCCTCAAGCTGACAACCATAAATATTAGATAACAAATAACATCTATCTAGATTTTATCTTAAGTGAGAGATTTCAAAATTAACTAGTACCCTACAGACACAATTGAAAAAAAATCTTCCAATCAATAATCTAGAGTTTACCTGAATTTACAGGATGTATACAACAAAAAATTTTAAGAGTTAAATTTGTTTCATCTGCATAATAGTATATTACCTACTATATGTTATATTGTTAAGTTATGTTAGCATTCAAACACAAATATAAGATATATTTGCTAAAAATTCATTTTAAATATCCCTAACATTCTGAGTTCATAAATTTCAGCAGTTGTGTAACTGGGAAGACACAGTTTCTACTTTTTACATTGAATACCCAAGGAATTCAATATTTTGAAAGAAAAGTAGATCATTATTTACTATGATAAAAATTAGTATGTTTATGTGATATAAAGGCACAGAAAATATATAACATTTTACATACATCTTTTAAGGAAAGTCATCACAATTCACATACATAATATTACATCTATAATTTGTTATAGTGTCCTTTGTCTAATCTTATATCAACATAATATAAATGAGAAATAAAATAGCCAGGTACTTTTAAATGGTTGTATATAAATAAGCGCCACACACTGGGATATCCAGAAAGATCTCCACATTTGGCAACACGATGACAAAATATCTTTGCTGAATAAATCAATTCATTAATCTCTCATCATGATTAGTTATGCCATAGACTCTCTAGATTTTTTGTCTTATTGTGTCATTTTACAGATATGAATACTGAAGAGTTTTCTTGTTCTTCTGCAACATTTTTTCTGTATAAAATGGTTTAAAATGTGGATTATCAAAAACAAACATTAAAGACTATCTCCATATCACAATTCTTGCTTAACTGTGTAGATTCATTCAAACAATTGGCTAAAGAAAAAAATCCACAAATTGAGTGTTTTATTTAATTAAATAACTGTCACTAAAAACTGTCAATCCAACAGCTGGTCTAGAGGAAAACGAATCAGAGAGTGATAAGCTTGTTGGAACGTCATAAAGAAAGAAGTTTGTCTTCCTTCAAGACCCTGTGATTATTTTAGTTCTATAAAATATTTAGGTTTATGGCCGGCACCGCGGCTCACTAGGCTAATCCTCCACCTTGCGGCACCAGCACACCGGGTTCTAGTCCCAGTTGCCCCTCTTCCAGGCCAGCTCTCTGTTGTGGCCAGGGAGTGCAGTGGAGGATGGCCCAGGTCCTTAGGCCCTGCACCCGCATGGGAGACCAGGGGAAGCACCTGGCTCCTGGCTTCAGATTAGCGTGGTGTGCCAGCCACAGCGTGCCGGCCGTGGCGGCCATTGGAGGGTGAACCAACGGCAAAAGGAAGACCTTTCTCTCTGTCTCTCTCTCTCACTGTCCACTCTGCCTGTCAAAAAAATAAATAAATAAATAAAAATTTAGGTTTACATTTCAAGAATCATAACTGTGTTAGGATCCAAAAGTAGAAAGGAAATCCTTTTCATTTAAACACACTTTTGACAAGTTCTCAAGAATGTTCATGTTAGCTTACTCCTTGGGAGCCTCAAAAGGCATAAATAATAATGATTTTATTTCATTAGAAATATTTTATTTCCAGAATTCCAATCACACCTACTTTCAAATGTAAGCCACAGAGGGAATTTTTAAAAGGATCCAAGAGTCAGGAGTCCCTTTGGCATGGGCAGGACACTTCACAACCCTGTACCAACCACTTCTCCCTTATCTTCAAAATTAGACCTGACCAGATAATTTTCTAGAATTTTATGGTTCCACATGATTTAACAAAGCAGTCTCCCTTAAGCCATTTTTAATTAAGCATGTGCTTGTTGTAAAGTACTTGTTCAATATGAAAAATTAGCAAAACAACCTAGGGCAAAAACACAGGATGGTACAAGGTAAAGTCAAAGAAAAGGGTAAATAGGTACACCAGTAAGGCATGGACTTCAAATGGCTAAAATCACAAAAGCAGCTCAGAAATTTTCAATTTTAAATCTAAAAAATTCTTTGTATGTACTCAGAAAATTATCTATACTCAATCTTATTTAGTACTACATTTTCTTTTTTTTTTTTTTTTTTTTGACAGGCAGAGTGGATAGTGAGAGAGAGAGACAGAGAGAGAAAGGTCTTCCTTTGCCGTTGGTTCACCCTCCAATGGCCGCCGCGGCCGGCGCGCTGCGGCCGGCGCACCGCGCTGATCCAATGGCAGGAGCCAGGAGCCAGGTGCTTTTCCTGGTCTCCCATGGGGTGCAGGGCCCAAGCACCTGGGCCATCCTCCACTGCACTCCCTGGCCACAGCAGAGGGCTGGCCTGGAAGAGGGGCAACCGGGACAGAATCCGGCGCCCCGACCGGGACTAGAACCCGGTGTGCCGGCGCCGCTAGGCGGAGGATTAGCCTAGTGAGCCGCGGCACCAGCTAGTACTACATTTTCTAGCATAAAATGCAAAATGAACAAATTTTTCAATATTCATGAAAGAAAAATAAAAATATTTTATTTAATGAGATTATAAAATTATAATTAAACTAATATGTGTTTCTATCTAAAAGTTCTCACAAGTCCTTCAAATTAATAAACAATTACCTCATGAAAGTAACATAAATAATTCTGTCTTTACAAAGTCTAGCATAATAATATTTAATGGCTGTCAATATTTTAGTACTTTATAATTTTAATAATGTCACAAAGTGAAATAAAATGATCATTAAATTCAAAACATTTAAATAATGAAAGATACATACAATGAAAAATTTTACAACTACAGATTTAAAGGATGAGGATATTTTATTGATAGAATTATTTGATAATGGTTTTAGAAAAGCAGACACGAAACAAATCAACCAAACAATCAGGAAACAGAACAATAAAAGAAGAAATTAAAAATGAATAAAGAAAAGCATGCTACAAAATCTATACAGAAGATTAAATTTCCATTTACACAAAATCAAATTGAAGTAAACATGCAAAAGACGCACCAAGAAAGGTAGACTACATCTTTCAAGAAGGAAAATTAAACATGCAGAAAAATAAGAGTTTGAGTTTTGAGAGTAACAGCGAGCTGTGAGGCCCAATTTACCTTCACTATCTGACATGGCATGTTGGAAGTCGTCCATGATGAATGCTATGTCGCGGTCATAGCCACGAGTCCTTGATTCTTCTCTCATATGTTGCTGAACTTCAGGCAATGAATGACTTGACCCAAACTGATCCCTGGTATCTGCTGATATTGGCGGCAAGGGTCCAGCTGCAGCCCTTGCCATTCCCATTGGTTGGCCAACAGGACTGAGTGGACTTTCTTCTTCAGAATTCTGGGCCACAATTGGTATTCTTCCTCTACTCTGGCTAATTGGCAAACTAGTAGGCTTAGTTCTTGAAGATGGTGAGGCATGAGTGAAGGAAACATCTAGAGCTTCAGCCTCTTGAGCTTTCAGTCTTAGTGAGGAGCTGGAAGAGTCTCTTTTAATTGACAAATCAAGCCCATAAACAGAAGAAGGTCTGGAGGAAGGTCTGGACCTGCTGCCACTACTGTAAGGCTTATCTGCTTCATCCTGCAGAGCTGACCGTATAGTATTCCCTAATGTGCCCAGTCCTGTGCCAAGAGATGATCCCATAAATTTTTGCTGGTCTGTAATATTTTTTCTAAGGCCAAAAGTGATATCATCTTGAAGAAGTCTTGCCCTTGAAGAAATCCCACCAATAGATGAAGTACTTGAAGTCATATAGCTTGAATAATCAGGTTCTAGGTCTCTACTTTCTTGAATAGGTGAAAATTTTGACATTTTGGGGTCAATTAGTGATTTCTTATGCTTTGACTGCTTTTGATACAGTATGGCTGCTGGTAGCTGTTTTGCTGCTTGTTTTTCAAGTGTGAGTCTACTGATGCTATATTTTTCAGATTTTGGAAAATGTCTATAGCTAGTATCTGCATGATAATAATGTGAGAGACCAGCAAGGTGATCTAAACTCTCCGTCCCTCTACGGAATTCTTGTTTAATCTGCTGTTTCAGAAGCTTCAACTCATAGGGATCCTCCATTGGGTCTTCCTCTGCTTTCACATAACTATGTAATCTGGAAGAAGTCTGTAAAGGTGCTAGGAAATCTGTCACTTCTTGAGATCTACGAGTCTCAGTGGTTCGGAGCAGACGGTCCGTTTTTGACAGATCCTTTTCATGAAGACTAAATGCAGTGCTTAATGCTGCTGTACCTTTGGGAATTTCTCCAATGTCATCAATTAAAACATAGTTACGTGAAGTATGATGGTCAATATCTGCATAGAAAGAATCTGCAGATATGCTGGATATAGGACTGCTTGCCATGCTACTTCTTTCCTCCAAACCTATTCTCAAGTCTAAAGTATTGTATTTACTACCAAGATGGGAAACAGCATATGTGTTATCAGTAGAAGCAGGTGCTATCATCAGAGGCTGGTTGCGAATCACTTCATAGTTTGAAGTTATCTTGGGCTCTAGATACAATGCAGTCTGCCGTGGCTTCTGCTGAATTACCATCATGTGTGACGGTAACTGGTAAGAAGGTTGTGGGGTTGGTGTAGGTTGCGCTTGAGGTGTGAAGGACATTGTTGCCACAGCTTGGAATGTTGGCTGAGTCTGATAAGGTGAAACCTGCTGAGTGTACAACGTTTGTTGCTGAAAATGGGATTGCTGGGTGTACGGGGTGGGTGCTTGGGTAGGAAGAGGAGGGGAAGAGTATTGGTATTGTGTGTAAGGACTTGTAGGAGGAACTAGCTGAGATTCTGTTTGGGTTTGTGGTGGTATAAACTGGGTGAATTCGGGTTGAGGAGCAGTTCTGGGTCGTTCAATACCATGCTGACTTTCTATTCGGGTTGGTCTGGCAGTGCTCACTTCACTGTCAGACATGTAATCACGATCCTCCGCTACGCCTTGCAGGTAGGCTCGCTCTCTCTTTTCTCTCTCCTTTAGTAATGCCTCTTTCCTCCTGTTAATTCCCATTTCCAAGTACCGCAGCTTGGCATCAATCTCCTTTTCTTCTTCATCAAGTTCCACTTGTTTCTTTCTAAGCTTCGCAGATTCCCGTTCCACAAGATCAAGCTCTCTGTCTATGTCCTGGAGAATCTTGGCTCGAGCCATCGTATTGGTCCTACAGATCCTTCTCCTGGAAACGGTGCCCATTGTGCTGTACGTTGACTGAGCTCCTGTGGAAGCTTCCTCAGGAGGTGGATTTGGCAGAGTTCTCTTAACTTTTTTCTGAGTGCCAGATGGTGTCACGGTTTGAGAACCCTTTGTCTATAATAAAGGAAAAAAAATACAGTCCTTTGTTATCAAGTGAAAATAAAGGCAAAAAAATCTTCATAAATTGCATTCAAATAAAAATGATTTCACATGTTTCAGCTATCACAGCATAATTTTTCAAATTATGTATAATTCATGGTCCCAAATGCAATGAACTGAAAAATTCATTTTCAAGAATTTCATTTTCAACAATTGAAAAATATTTTTCTTCTCTAGGTGAATTTGTTATTTATTATTATAATCCCTGGAAGTTGTCGTCAAATCAAGCACTGAACTCATTGCTCATGTATGTATATGCATATGTGTTTTATATATTTATAACCTGATTATTATTTTTATTAGAAGCATAATGATACTTCCCAGCCTACCTTCCCTCCTCTTTCATTTATTAGTCTTTTAATTTTTACAATGAAATATTTTCAGCTTATTTTATAATCTTAACTCTCCACTAAGAATTCAATAAAAAGGAAAAAAAAACACAGAACAGGAGAGACAAGGGCTGTAAACAATAATCAGTTCTCAAAATGTCAATTTTGCTAATATAGGCTACATTTTGGGGGGCATAAATTTTACTAAGATTCTACGAAGAACTCTAGAACCTTAATTTCCATCTATCTCTTTTTTAATTTATTTGTTTGACAGATAGAGTTAGACAGTGAGAGAGAGAGACAGAGAGAAAGGTCTTCCTTCCGTTGGTTCACCCCTCAAATGGCCGCTAAGATTGGAGCTATGCCAATCCGAAGCCAGGAGCCAGGTGCTTCCTCCTGGTCTCCCATGCATGTGCAGGGGTCCAAGCACTTGGGCCATCCTCCACTGCCCTCCCGGGCCACAACAGAGAGCTGGACTGGAAGAGGAGCAACCAGGACTAGAACCTGGCGCCCATATGGGATGCCAGTGCCGCAGGCAGAGGATTAACCAAGTGAGCCACGGTGCCAGCCCCTCCATCTTAATAGACACACAATTTAACTGGATCTACTCCTAGTGTATCTATGCTAACGATCTAAAATTGAAGGTACGTTTGTTGAAGATGTTAGTTTAGCATGCTATATGCTATATGGTATTTATCTTTCCCTTCACACTTTTACTCCTTAGAGAGACTGTCATTCCTATTCCAATGAACTATTTCAAAGTAAAATCCTCAAATTCTATTGGGCCTTCCTGTTGCATATTCTTTACAAGATGGGTTCTTTCTCTTATAATCCAAAGATATTAATTTCTCCTTTTCCCACCACTCAGCAAATGTTGAGGACAGAAAAAAAAACAATAAAAAATAAGTCTATGAATTTTGATCTAAAAATTAAATCTTATAAATTAGAGCACATTTGTCCAAGATGTCATGGTCTCAAAGTCTTTTTTTAAAATTTCTAACTTTGTTTCCTTCATAGTTTTTAATCTGCTTTCTGATATCATTTGTCTGCTCCTTTTACACGCCCTGTTTATTTAATAAATACTACAATGTAAAACTTCCTAAGGATTTCATGAGACTTGTGCATATTTCCCACATTTGAAATACTTGATAAATTGAATAAATGTCACCAGTCTGAGAAATTGGGTCCAGTGATTTTGAAATTGTAGTTTGTGCCTCCTGAGAGAAAAATCTCAAAGAACAGGGAGAACTGGAGCCTCTGTAGGCAGCAGTTTGGCAAATATTTATGTCCCTCTCATCCTAAATTGTTTTCACTTTATCCAGTACTCAATTAAGTCAGGGTCACTATGAAGATCAAGTGAGACAACAGTATAATACAATAGGCACCTATTTTTGAAAAACCCACATTCCATATTTTAAAAAATTTACTTGTAAAAAATAAACATAGATCATAGCAGTAATGAAAATTGAGATCTTACAATCATTTTCTTCATAATTTTTCAAAATTCTAATACAGCTATATCATAATTTAAAATACTTTTCCATAATAACCTTTGAATCTTCTGAATGTAACAGTGTTCAACAGGAGGCTAAAAGTTACCAGTTTTCCTTTGTATGTATGTGAGATGCCTTAGAATTTAAAAATGTACAATACTGTCCTATACTACATATATTGTGTTGGTGAAGTGGTTTGAACAAAGGTTGTTTATGTTATCCTGGAAGTATTATGGTACTGAATAATGGAGACATTACAGAGGAAGAATTTTCCTTTGCAGCAAAGGAGATGGATATGTTAAATATACTGAATTGATTTTTAAAAATAGTGTAGGTACTCAATAAATGGCTGCAAATATTTGTTTAGTGAAAGAATGAAGATATGAAATATTAAAATTAGATCTTGTGACTATTTTTAAATGCTCTGATTCAAATGGTGAATTTTTCAGAATTCACTGATTAGACCTGGAGTATACAATATGAAGAGCCACACAAAGACAATTATTAAAGTAAATGTAATCCTTGGTGGGGGTATAATTGATATATTGTTATTTGTTCACATTTTGTACATTTTATAATAATTTAACTTCATTTAACTTTTATAGCTTTCATCTGAGAGAACAGGCCTAGTGAAACAACTTTTCTATTTTTTTAAAAGAAGTCCCAGGTAAAAGAATATAATTTAAAAAAAGAATGTATTTGAAATTAAACATCAATGTTCTTGTCCACTCAGATATTTATTTCCGTTATATTATATTAATACTATATTAACAACTTTCATTTTGTGTCTGTTCTTTCCACTTGGATCAGCATTTAGTTTTGAATTAATCAGTGAATTTTCTCCCCTTTTTCTTTTTTCTAACTTTGTTTTTAATTGACACAGAACTATTTATTTATGGGATTCAGTGTATTGGGGATTTCTAATGATACTCCATGGTTGCAAATATTAAATGAACCATGACATGTGTTAATTAATATTTTTGAAGCCTTGGTATGAGTCACGGGAACACAAGACAGCAGGTGAGTAGAACTAACCTACCTGTCCTCCCAGTCTCCAGATACTGACATAACTTTTATCCCAGTTGAAAAAAAAGTCATAAAGTTGTAGACTTGCCACTGTCTCAGCCAACTCCCTCACAATGAGAGGCATTGGAACACAGTGATTGAAGGCTTATTCTTCAATCCTAGTTCTGCCTTTTAGGAGCTGTGAGAACTTCAGCCAGTTGTTTAAACTCCATGGACATCAATTCTTTTATATGCAAAAGAAGGTTAATATTTCTTCTTACAATATTGGTTTGTATAAGGAGTAGATGAATTAACTTAAGGCTCTAGATTAGTTCTTGGCCCATATATTTATATATTAATAACTGCTCTCCAACATTTTACTGAACAGGTACTTGAATGGAAGTTGCCCTACTCGACATTTTGGTCAAGTCCTCCTCCCAATTGATCAAAGTACAAAGTATTGGTTTTCAATAAGATTTTCTGATAGAAAATTCCATATAACAACACAGTTGATTTCATTCTGAAAATCATGATCTTTAACTTCTGTTTTTTAAAAAATCAAAAGAATTATGCATCCAGAGAAAAAGAAGTACTGTTTTCAAACTTAAAAACTTTTCAACGAAGTGAAATGGACACTATGGGAAACGGTGACTTGATCAGCATAGCCCTGACTGTTAATGAACAACTTAATACATTATCCCTCTTAGTAGTTTTTTTGTCTGTTCTACTTAATATGACTGGTTTAATTCTGTAATTATCACACAGTTATTCTTAAGTGTTGAAAATTAACTGAAATGTGATCCCTGTTAAACATAAGAGTGGGAATAAGAGAGGGAAGAGATGTATAATTTGGGACATGCTCAAGCTGACTTGCCCCAAATGGTAGAGTTAGAAACATACCAGGGGATTCCAATTCAATCCCATCAAGGTGGCATGTACCAATGCCATCTCACTAGTCCAAGTGATCAATTTCAGTTCACAATTGATCACAATGAAAGGACTAAGAGTCAAAGGGAGCACATAAACATGTCTAGTACCTGCTAACACTAACCGATAGAATAAATAAAGGGGAGAGTGATCCAACATGGGAAGTGAGATACTCAGCAGACTCATAGAATGGCAGATGTCCTAAATAGCACTCTGGCCTCAGAATCAGCCCTAAAGGCATTCGGATCTGGCTGAAAAGCCCATGAGAGTATTTCAGGCATGGAAAGCCAAGACACTCTGGCAAAAGATCTCTGTGAGTGAGATCCCAGTGGAAAGAACAGGTCTTCAAAGAAGGAGGTACCTTTCTCTGAAGGGAGGAGAGAACCTCCACTTTGACTATGACCTTGTCTAAACAAGATAAGAGTCGGAGAACTCAGAGGGCTTCCATAGCCTTGGAAACTCATGACTGGAGCATAGGGAGATTACTGATTCCATAGACAGGAGTGTCAATTGGTAAAGTCAACAACAGGAGTCACTGTGCACTTACTCCTCATGTAGGATCTCTATCCTTAATGTGCTGTGCATTGAGATTTAATGCTATAACGAGTACTCAAACAATATATTTCACTTTGTGTTTCTATGGGGGTGCAAACTGTTGAAATCTTTACTTAATGCATACTAAACTGATCCTCTGTAAAAAAAAAAAAAAAAAAAGAAATTATCAATTCCCAACTTGACTCTCACTGGGATTAAACATGACAATAGGTCTGATCTGATTTCATCATCATTTAAAAAAAATCATCTATTATTTTTCACTTTATGTTTCTGTGTGGGAGCAAACTGTTGAAATCCTTACTTAATGTATACTAAGCTGATCTTCTGTATATTAAGATAATCGAAAATGAATCTTGATGTGAATGGAAGGGGAGAGGGAGTGGGAAATGGAGGGTTGTGGGTGGGAGGGACGGTATGGGGGGGAAGCCATTGTAATCCATAAATCGTACTTTGGAAATTTATATTCATTAAATAAAAGTTAAAAAAAAAAACAACTTTTCAACGAAACTAGTTGTCCAATGTCAGGCCTCTAACATTATCTAAGGAACACCTATCTCACACTATCTGAAAAGTGTTCTGCAAGTGTATTGTTGTCAGTGAAAAGACAGTCTAATCTCTCCTAAATTACAACAGATGCTTTCCTATA